GGTGGTAGTGTCCAGGGTCACTGATGAGAAGTGGAATTCTCTGAAACTAGTCTGGCTCAAGACACACTTGCTTGTACTATTTTGTACAAGTATAAAAAAAAGTCTGAGAAGTACGATTAAACAATACAAAGCCATAGCTTCAGTATTTATCATCAAAAATTTACAACATTCACTTGAACAATATTTAAGATCTCGCAACTTCGTGAAGTAAGCATTTTGAATATCAGCATTTTTAAAAATTGGTTTTAATTACAGTTAATTAGAAGATGATTAAGTTAACACTGTGTTACGACAGCGGAAGTCACATGACGCTGCTAACACGTGATGAGTTTCTAGAAGGATCGGGGAACATCACGAATAATCCAGTATTTGCTAGACGCCCTCTATTCCTGTATATAAGCGCGCCAGATAAAGCGAGACAATTAAACGGAATTGGATAGCTGATAGAGAGATAGAGACAGATGATTTAGTCAAGTGACCGGTAGTGATCGTAAGTAAAGTGCTTGAATCGTTATGAATTATAGCGTGTGTTTAAGTTAAAGTGACTGTGGAAATTAAGTGTATTACAAAGTTTGTAACGAGAAAGAATAAACTAGGTTTAATTAAGAAAGGACTTGTATCGCTGAAGTTTCTCGGAAAGAATTTTTACGGGATATCATCAAACAAGCAGATACGTAACAACTGTTTAACAACCCAGACAGAAACAATAAGTAGTGCAAATGGAAAAAAAATAATTAAAATAATTTGCCGAATATTCCAATACTATTCACGCTTTTGTAAAGCATGAGTGTGTTCTATTTTTATTTCCATCACCAAACAAAATCTCATCAATTTTCTGGTAGGTGTAAAGAAGAATGTGTTTCCAAATCAATCGAAAGAATATTTAGAGCTTCTAACAGAATAATAGAAAGTAGGAAATATTCCTAGTGAAAATATGGACAATTTTCTAGTTTATTGAGACTGTAATGAAGTAATAATGCAATCGTGCACTACATAGAAAGCTGTCTACTTTTTAATTTTATCATGAAAGCAATTATTTCAATACAAAATACAATTATTTTGCGCTGTCAAATAAATCTCCTCTCCTACGTAAGCTGGAATACTCCAAGTCTATCCCAATGATAGCGTCATTTATTGTGTATTAATTCAGACTCCACCAGCAATATGAACCAATGCAATATTTTCAAATTAATTATTTTCCACTATCGGCATCTATGGTAACCAAAATCACCAATATCGATATTTACCGATAGTACATCTATCGGTATCAATAAAATAATTGTCGCGTTTCCTAAAAAATCACCCAATATAAATAGAAAACAAATATATATGTGCATTTTATTTGTTTCACCGCAGTATTTCTTTTATGCTGTAACTATAATCATAAAGAAATACAGATAAAATTTTAACTTTTACCATCTTGGATTCCATTATTGTAAATTGTTAGTTATTTATTTAAATGAAATAATTGTTATTTAAATAAGTATAAATATGTTTATCGGATGAGCAATGACCTTCACGTGGATATAAAAAAGGGTATTCATAATCAGATTTATTAGATATGGATGGGCATATTTCTATAAATGATATCTACCAAAGTATTGCAAAAATAATATATGACTTCTTTGATAATAAAATAATGTTTGAGTGACGCAGCTTATCATTTCACCCTTAGCTTGCTAAATAGTATATGAGAGTGAAGAAATAACTTAACATAACATAATATTTTGGGACTACATGGGACCTATTGGTCCATCTCGGCTGTTCCATTCTCTAAACTAAATCAAAATAATTAGAAAAATAAAATATTAAAG